CTGGTTAGAAATAAACTGCTGTAGGGAGACAGTCAGAGAGACAGACAGGGGCACAGCTGTGTCCAGAGCTGTGTGCTGGTTAGAAATAAACTGCTGTAGGGAGACAGTCAGAGAGACAGACAGGGGCACAACTGTATCCAGAGCTGTGTGCTGGTTTGAAATGAGCAGCTGTAGGGACACTCAAAGTGACAGACAGGGGCACAGCTGTGTCCAGAGCTGTGTGCTGGTTAGAAATAAACTGCTGTAGGGAGACAGTCAGAGAGACAGACGGGCACAACTGTGTCCAGAGCCAGATTTGGGAGAGGCGACAGGGAGACAGTCAGACAGACCTGATGGTACTGAGCAGGGCGTTGTATCTCTGGATCTCCTGCAGCAGGACCACGTTGAGGGGCGAGGGGTCGTCCTGCAGCATCTTGCGTGTCCCCTCATAATCCACCTCCTCTGGGATCTTCTGACGCACGTCTGCCGACATCTCCAGCACCTGGTGAAAAGGGTCGTCTTAGCTACACTACAAAGAGCACCACCTCAAGGCAAAGCCCAGGTTAAACTGCTCATCGTCACTGAAGCTGAAGTACTGCCCCCTCTATCTGAAAAGTATTCGCTGTCTAATTCATGGTGATTCATAGTGTGTGCTAAGCTGAACCGATCTGTCAGCGATTCCTCTGACCTCATCCCAGCCAGTGGGAGTCAGGTGTTCACGCATGTCTCCAGCTCTGTAGATTTCTACAGAGCACTGGCCCCCTGTATCCAATTCACTGGAGCATCTGAACTGGCTGGGGTAAGCAAGTCAGGCATCCCTGACAATAAGTGCAGCTGTATACACAATATTTAAAAAAATTAAAACTAACTCTTATAAAATCAGACTGGGAGCTTGGGGGTGTGGTTTTTAGTGCTGCTGCATCTGCCATGACATCCTGGGATCAAATCTAGACTAGGAAGGCTTCCATGTTGAGTCTGCATATTCCCCCATGTCTGTGTTGGAGGTCTGTGGATGTTCCAGTATCCTCCCAATCCTGATAAGCTGTCCACATGAGTCCGCTGCCTTTAAAGTCTGGCTGTCCGTGGCAGGATGTCATCCCTTCTTAAAACTTCTGCCAGCTGAGCTGACCCTGGCTCACTATGGCCCTCTAGGGATAAAGCAGCTGCTGCCATAGGTGAGACAAGAGCTCCTTGTTTCAGACAGAGGGGGCCAGCATGCGCGCCCGCAGTTTTCTCCCACTGTGACGAACAGACCTTCTCCTCCCGGCTGAGGGTGCTGCCGGCGCCGGAGGCAGGCACGGTGACCTGCGGCTGCAGGGACAGCAGGGTATCGAAGAGCGTCCGCGTCTCGGTGATCTGGCTGGCGATGTCAGCGTTGGAGTGCTGCCCGAAGACCTCGGGGTGCTCCATGGCGGGAAGCATGCTGATGTACTCCCGGTACACAGACTGCGGCCCGTCCTTGGGGATATAATAGGTGGGCAGGGAGGACAGCCTGGGTGGACGCAGAGACACAATGTTTTACACACAGGCTAATTATTATTAGGAGCAGCGTTAACTGCTTTTATCAGTGCGGTCTCACTTGTAGAAGGGCGTGGAGACAGCCTGCTCGCAGAAGTAATCGTTGATGTAAGTGGTGAGGAGTCGGCGGTCCCAGTCATCAGTCACATGACCCCCGTAGTTGACCCCAGCAATCAGGTATTTGAGGGCGTCCCAGGGCGTCTCCTCGTACTCATCCAAGTACAGGCTGAGCAGGTTCTCTGACACCTAGGGGGACAGGGAGAAGGCAAGTGGGCACATCTACACACAGACACAGTGATCCTCCTCTTCCTTCCCCACCCTTCACCTATCTCTTCCTCTTTCTCACCCCTAATGTCTCCCTCTCCATGTCCCTGCTATCTCTCTGTCACTCCTGCTTCCTCCCCACCTCCTTCCCAGCAGTCTGACTGCTCTCCTGCTCTCTTCCAAGCAGTCTGACTGCTTTCCTGGTCTCTTCCCAGCAGTCTGACTGCTCTCCTGCTCATCCTCCTCTTCCATCCCCACCCTTCACCTATCTCTTCCTCTTTCTCACCCCTAACGTCTCCCTCTCCATGTCCCTGCTATCTCTCTGTCTCTCTCTGCTATATCTCTGTCACTCCTGCTTACTCCTCACTTCCTCACCTCCATCCCAGCAGTCTGACTGCTCTCCTGCTCTCTTCCCAGCGGTATGACTACTCTCCTGCTCTCTTCACAGCAGTCTGACTGCTCTCCCTGTCTCTTCCCAGCAGTCTGACTGCTCTCC